GAGGGTGTGGGCCGCCGGCTTCTCGGTCGCGGGAGAGATTCTATAGAGCTGCACAAGGCACTGGAGCAACAAAGCCGTGGCGCCGACGTCGCCGGCGCAGAGGCAAACGACAACTCTGTCCGCTCCTGCGTGGTTCGGTCGAAATCCCAGGCGAACGGTCCCACGCAAACCGCGTGCAAGGCCACCGAGGCGGGGCGCCTCTGGGCCATGCCCCAAAAGATCGGGAAGGCGAAGGACATCCCACCCGCGCAGTCCGAGAACCAGTGAATCCCGTTGTAGAGCACCATCAGGCATTCGGCCAGAGCGTCAGAACGGCGAAGAGCTCGTAACACTAGACGCATCCAGCGATGGGCGAGCGGCGGGGAGGCCCGCGCAAGGTCGAGCGCCACCAGGGCAGGGGGGTCGACCGAGGAATTCAGAATCAAAGAGCAAGCCCGATTGCGGGCAATCAGCTCACCGGCGTTGGTGCCGAGCTGGCGACCCTGGATGCGGCCCCTCTGAGCGCGGTTGGCCACCTTGGCCCATGCCCCCAGGAGACCGCGCGCGTGGCCGCGATGACTTTGTTGTCTGTATCTTCGAGGCTAAGGGGGCGCAGCTGCGCGCGTTCACGGGTGCATCCTCCTCCTTCGAAGTCGACCTCCCCCCCCCGAGGAATGGAGATGCCGAGAGGCCGTTGAATTCCGAGAGAGCCCGCCCACCATCCAGGAGAGCCAGAACATCGCCCCAGCGAGAGTCTCGAGCCCTGGGGGCCCTTTGCGGGGCGGCGCGAGGAATGCCGCCGCGGGCCAGGGGCTCAGCGCGAGAGACGGCGGGCGAGAGCTGCCGAGATCGACGAGCGACGTGGACCGCTCGACGATGTAGACCTCGGCCGGGTCAACTGGCGTGGACTTGCCGCTGGAGGCCTCGCCCCGGCGCGCAGAGATGCCGGGCGCCATGCGCGGAGGCGACGAGAGGAGCGGCTCGCCTTGGCGGGCCCCTCGGATGGAGAGCCCGCGGTCGAAGGCGGCCCGCCCGCGAGCGCTGGGGCCTCGGGAACCGTGGGCAGAGACGCTGGCGCTCCGAACCTTCAGTGGCGCCCGCGATGCTTCCGACGTTTCTGGAGATGGGCTCGCTCCTCCGGGCGGCCCCGCATCTCGGGCAAATATGCGGGGGCAATCAGCCGGGGGCGACGCGTTTGGCCATCGGGGCCGAGGCGGTGCCGAGCGAGTGGGCAATCGTTAACCGGGCGGGCGCCGAGCTTGAAGTGCTGTCTCAAGACGGTTCGCCCAACCGACCTGCGCAAAATAACGCGCCGACAAGAACGCGACGCCTCCTGGTCGCAGCCCGCGCCGCCCGGGCGATCATTCTCGGCGCGGCGAATGCCCCCCGCCATGGGCGACGCAAGGTGGGAAAGCCAGAAAGGGGGGGGCATCCAACCCAGGTCGCTAGCAACTATGCGCTCTTTCATGAACGGATGATCTGCGTAGGTATCGGCGAGGTTCTTCGAGGTGCTGCGGGATTCGCATTCCACGGTGGCTTCGAGCTCGGCGCGGGCGGCGGCGCGGTCCGACAGTTTCTGTCGGGTCGCAATCTCAGCCAGACCCCGCGCGCAACCGCGCATGTTCAGCCGCGGAGCAACCCGCCAGGGGAGAGCAGCAGGCGCGATCTATGGCGCTCGTCGCGCAGTCGGCAGCGCGCGCGCGTGGGCCTTCTGCTGGATCTCCCCGAGAGATGAAGAGCAGCGGCGCTGCGTGGCGCCCTGCGAGGGGTCTGGCAGCCCGTGCCCGTGCCAGGAAATAGGGCCAGGTCGATGGGGGGCGGCGGGTCGGCGGCGATATTGGAGCCACCCAAGACAGCCGCTGAACGACGCCGTGGGCCACCCAGATCCTCTAGACGCCTCTGTTCGACATGTTGAATCTTGCGACGTTCATGCGCGGCGAGAAACCCCTATGCGTGGGCACTGTAGTGCGCGATCCCAGGGGCCCCATCATCATGGACAAGCATTGCGCGCAATTCGTGCCCAAGACAACTTCTGGATTGCGAGCCGGATCAGCGCGATGACTCCGCCGGCGATCGCCGACGAGAAACTCGCGTGGCACCGCGGCGGATCGCGGCTGAAATTGGCAGCGCCCATTGCTTCCTCCTGGGCGCCGCGGGTCTCCAGCGCGGCAGCGATGCCGTTGGAAGACGCGAGGGGCGAGAGGTACGGGCACTTTTTGGAGCGGGCGGAGAGCGATGGTTGAAAAGGTAGCTTGCGCCCCAGCTCGAGAAACTCAGCGAGGCAGTGGAAGGGCTGGCGCCAGCCCGCGGCCTCAAACATGTGTTAAACAGACCAGGTGCCTGTCTCCTCCTGCCGCTGGAAGAGCACTGATCCTGCTCGCGAGAGCGGGATCCCGAATGCCGCGCTCCTGGTCGACGAAGAACCGCTTGTCCTGGTGCGCGGGCTCGGATTCACGGCGCATGAGTTTGCAGCCGAGCTCGCAGCGTATCCGAGACTGAATATTGTCCGCGCTGGCATCGAGGTCTGAACGCCCATGGCCCATGAGGGTCTTGGCTGAGCAGCGGCGCCACGCATCGTCTGCCCGACGCAATGCACATGTCGCTTGCTCGACCGAGCACGGCTCCGAAGGGGTGGTGGTGAGCTCCCAATCCTCGACGTCCAGGTTGGCGTCCAGCAGCCACTGACCCACTGCGTTGTGGACCTCATCAGCATGTACAAACTCCTTATTGCGTACGACTGAAACGGATGGTTTCGGTGGGCGGTCGAAGGTGCCAGGGGCATCAACCTTGATGGGCACTTCGTGCTTGATGAAGTGGACCTGGTCCACGAACGACTTGGTCTGCGACTCGAGGAAGTCGATGCGGTGTTCGTGGTCGGAGATCTGGATCTCAGCCTTGTGCATGTGCTGCTCCACCTATTTGTCAATGGCCTAAACGTGGAAGGGCATGGTGTTAGAGAGGTGGTTAACGTTCGCCTGAATGGATGCAGTGGCGGCCATGACCTCGTCGCGACTGGCGTCCACGTGCTTGCGGATGCCAGAGCCGTCGCCGTCTTGGCCAATAATATGGACCCGAGCAGGAGAGGCACCACCGAAAGTACCAGCCGCACGGGGGAGATCATCAGGAAAATCGAGGTCGTCTGCCGAGTGCAATCCTGGATATTCAGCGTCCGTGGGCGCGGCAGCGCGTCCCCTGTCGCCTCCACCTCGTGCGAACTTATAAGCCTTGACCTCGTGCATCAACCATTCTGTCGCTCTCGCGAGAAGGCGGGAACATCCGAGGCTACACAACAAACCAACATAACGGATGTAACAAAGGAACGAGGCCGCCAGCGCACAACACGCTGGATACCTCGAAAGAAAGCTGCCCGCTCGAAATATGACCTGTTCCCACCTCGAGCCGAAATAGCAAAGGGCCTCCTTCACATCCTCCTCCTCCTCCTCCTCCTCCTCCTCGTCGTCGTCGTCCTCCTCATCCTCCTCTTCCTCCTCCTCCGCCTCCCCCACCCCCTCCCCCTCCCCTCCCCTTCCCACCGCCCCCCCTCCAAGACCCGCCTGGAGCAGTTCTGCAGACCCTTCACGGGGTCAGCCCTGGCATCCTTGGCCAGGCTGAAGAAGAATGTCCGAGAGCCTCCGGAAACCTCCACAAAAAGGTCACCCGAAATCGACGGACGTCCCCGGGGGCCCTCGGAAGTCGGCCTCCCGAGACCACCGTAATACCAGAAAAGCACCCCCAAACCTTTCCTTCGACCCTGGATCCTCGATTTTCTATCCTCTACGCTTCTGTCTCAAAATTGCATAAGCAGGGAACGCACCAAAGAACGAGAGGGAGGCCCAAACAACAATGGGACACCAGCGCTTCCGTGCTATTGCTAGTACGCTGGACTTGCTTGGCGTCCTCCCTACCATTTTCCCCCCTTCCCCCCGCTTCTTTGCACGTGTAGCTTTTGTGTCGATGCTTCGTCTGGGCGCCAGGCTTGACTGGCTGACTGCGGTCGGGGACTTTCTGTTCGAGTGTCACCGCGGCGACCCTGGCGGCACGCTACGCCCTGCAAGCAGACAGTGTGATCGCTCCGCTCCGCTGGACGTGGGGCTCGTAACGTCTCGAGACGTTGAAGCCTGGGGGCAGGGAAGTGCATACCGTGTCGCGCCGAAGCGTGGTGGGCCAGAGCCGGCGGAGCGACACGCTAACCAAAAGTCCCCGACCCTCGGTTCCTGGCCAAAGCCGAGGGCGAGGAGCAGAGGAAGAGGAGGAGGAGGAGGAGGAGGAGGAGGAGGAGGAGGAGGAGGAGGGAGAGGAGGGAGAGGAGGAGGAGGAGGGGAGCTAAGTCCAAGGCCAGCGCCCGCCGAGCGCCAGCCCAGGCCCGCGGCGCCGCTTCGCGCCCCCCGCTCCTGACGACGACGTCGACGACCGTGTCCTTGATCCCCGATCCTCGATGCCCCGCGCGCTGCCGACTGCGCGGGGGGCAAAGCCCGCCTGGGGTGGGCGGACGGTGACCTCGTCTGCGCCCTCCTGGTGCTCCAGCACGTACACGGGCTCCCCGCCCTCGGCCCTGCGCGCCTCCCACTCCTGGGGGCGCTCCGCGCTGGTCGTCGCCCTTGTAGTCGTCGTCGACGTCGTCCTTGTAGTCTTCGTCGTCGTCGTCGTCGTCGTCGTCGTCGTCGTCGTCCTTGTAGTCGTCGTCGTCGTCGTCGTCGTCGTCGTCGTCGTCGTCGTCGTCGTCGTCGTCGTCGTCGTCGTCGTCGGCGTCGTCGTCGTCGTCGTCGTCGTCGTCGTCCTCGTCGTCGTCCTCGTCGTCGTCGTCGTCAGTTTCGGCCCGAGAGCCTGGGGGCAGACAGGCTGCCGCAGGCATCCTCGGGCGGGGACCATCGCGCCTCCAGGGAAGGAGGCGTGGCATCAGCGCGAACGCCGCCAGCGGGCCTGCGCGCGGCACGCCCACTGGCAGACAGAGGCGGCGTCTGGAGCAGGCGGCCGCGATCCTGGACGCGAACCACGGATCGGCTCCATCAGGGGCGGCCGCCATGGGCGACAAGACGAGGGCACGTACGTACACGGTCAGCGGGTCGTGCGGCGACTGGACCTGTGACGACCTCCTGCAGCGGGCCAAGGGCTGGTGCGACTGCGGGGCCTACATCGGCACGAAGCCGCTGGGTCCATGGGCGGCATGCGCGGGCAGCGTGGCCGCAGCCAGAGCCGCTGGCAGGCAGATGGGGCTCCATTGCTGCAAGAGGTGCGTGCTGCGCTGGAGGCCGTCGAAGGTGGACGTCAGCAGAAGGCGATCGCGGCGCTGTGGAGGTGCGCGGCGCCGTCGCTGGCGGCAGACAACTTCGTTAGGCTCAAGGAGGCCAGGACGCAGGCAGGCCAGAGGTGGCAGGCGCTGCAGGCCAAGTTGTCCAAGGTGCTGGCCTTGGAGATGCATCTCGAGGAGGTGCTAGCGGAGCGGGAGCTGGCGGCGGACACCTACGCTTACGCCAAGGCGGAGCTGCAGAAAATCAGCACCATGTACCTGGCAGAGGCGGTAGGGTCGGAAGAGGCAGAGGATGAGACAGGCGCTGCGAAGTTCCTCGGGCTCGAGATCCCAGACGACCTGCTGGAGGAGCTGGCCGAGGTCGACGAGAGCGCAGCGGCAGATTGCCAGAGTTCAAGAGGCAGCTGGAGAAGTACCAGCAGGAGGGCAATGGCACGCTGGCCGACGCGGCGAAGCGACGGGCTGAGGCGGACCGGATATGCAACCAGCTCTACACGCAGGTCGAGTCCAAGGCGGAGCAGCTCAAGCGGGTGGTCGACCAGGCAAGGGCGCGGGCAAGGAGCGCGTCCAAGAAAAGGAGGAAGGTCGATGATGAAGCAAGAGACGCGGCGGGGAGCGCGTGCACGGGGTCTCCGACCTGGCCTGACAGGTGTCTTGGGCCAAAATGGCTACGGAAGGAAGAGGAGGAACAGCAGGGCGATGAGGAGGAAAAAAGATCAGCGGGCGACTCTGTCCTTTTTTTCCCCTAGCCTTCGTCGCTCCGTCCCCTGTCTCCGCCTTCCACCGCCCGTAATCTCAAACATGAGCAGCGACAAATGCATAGTCTGGAAATGCAATATACGCAATTAAATACAAACTGCCATACTACAGCAATCCAGAAGCTCAGCTTGACATGATCAATGGTCGTTCAACGCAGTAGCTTTGATTGCCCGGCGCCACTTACGCGACACCCGCCGCACCCGCCACGCAACAACGCCGCGCAACAACGACGACGACGACGACAGCTACGACTACGATTGCGAATGCGACTACGACGACTACTACTATACTTCTGCCTCAGGGGGAGAAGGATGATGATGAGGAGGAAGAGGAAATTTTAAGACCAGTCCTATTCATCACCGCCGAGACAAGGGGATGGGCCAAAACTAGAGTAGGGGGCCACATGCGAATTCTACCCCTGCCCACCACGATTTCTGAGGTGGAGGGTGGGGTTCAATTCGTTTAAGAGCTCCCGAGCGAGGTGAGCACCACCGTCCCCCTCAGAAATCGTGGGGGGCAGGGGTAGGGTTCGCATGTGGCCCCCTATGAAGACCTTTAGCGGTCACCATGACTGCCTCGCGCGCGAGACAAAGAGCGCGAAAGGCACGTGCCACCGCGCTGTAAAGATCGAATTCCCCGTCGTCGGGACGGCGATGACAAGCGACCCGCGTCAGCCGTGCCCTGTTCGCCGGGCGAGCGCTGCTGGGTATCTGTGGCGTCCAGGGGGGGATAGCAAATCATGACCCGAGGCATGTGCGCGGACGAGGGGGGGGTCAAAAGATAGTTGTGAAAGCTGACGAAGCGCGATTCAATCTTGGGAAGTATCGTGGCCCGGCCATGCTATCTACCCCCCTTGTCATCACCCCCTCTTGGCCACCCCCAAGTTGAGCAGGGACCGACCGTCCCGGCATTCCTATAGTCCTACCACGAAATGCTCTTAGAACTCAAAAATGTTCTAAGAACAAGAACAATGTTCTTAGAACATTCGCCCGATACGTTAAGACAAGACAGTCCCAGCCAGAAATGTTCTAAGAACATTTCGTGGAAGCCAAACAAGGCTCTTAGAGCATTGTTGGCTAGGGCTGTAGGCGAGCCAGGACGCTTCGCCACTGCTTGACCGAGGGCAGGTAGAACCGCGCGCCCGCGGAGCGTGCTGTTGCAGACCGGCGCCCTCCGCAAAGAGCTCCCGTGGAGGCGGAACGCCTTGCCGCACTCGCCAGCGAGCCCGCGCCCCGGCCGGGCCGCCGCCCGCTCCCTGGCGAGCGCCGCGGGGCTGGCCGAGGCCGACTCTCGGCCCGCCAGCTGGAGGAGCCGCAGGCCAGCGCCCCGCCGCCGCCCCCGCTTCCCGCCATGGGGAACGGCAGGCTCCCGACGACCAAAGGTCACGACGACCACGGCCACGCCGACACGACCCCGACGCCGTCCACGACGACGACCCCGACGACCCCGCCGACCGCGAGTTCGGCGGCGGCCCCCAGCCGCGGGCGCGGCGGGGCCTCTCGCCAGCGCCGCGCGGCGCCCCGGCACTGCTCGCGGAGGGCGGCCATGTCCAACAACCGCACCCGCAGGAGTCGCCCGATGCCGCCCTGCACCGCCCAGGCCGGCCAGGAGGCGAGGCCGTCGCGCGCCAGCGGCGCCGCGAAGCGCGGGGGGGGGGGGGCCTGCTCCGTAGCACAGCGGGCTCGTCCCTCTGCGGTCAGGGCGATTCCGGCCAACCACTCCCGCAGAGTCGCCGGCGCTCTGGGGGGCATCGACGGCGCACGCCCATGGGCCCTGCCTGGGTGTGCCTGCGCGTGGTGGTGATGGTGGTGGTGACGATGAAGATGACGACGACGATGACGATGATGACGATGATGATGATGCTGCTGAAGATGCTGCTGATGATGATGGTGATGATGGTGATGCTGATGCTGATGGTGATTGTGATGATGACGATGGTGATGGTGGTGATGACGATGATGATGACGATGACGATGACGATGACGATGATGATGATGATGATGATGACGACGACGACGACGACGATGATGATGATGATGATGATGATGATGATGATGATGATGATGATGATGAGGATGATGATGATGTGCTGGTGAGGGTGATGATGATGATGATGATGATGATGATGATGATGTTGTTGTTGTTATTGTTGTTGTTGATGATGATGGCGATGACGATCACGATTTTGAAGATTACGGCGGTGGGAACGGGGCGCTCCATCAGCCCGCGCCGCAGCAACGGCAGGGCCGCGCCCGCGGCGCGCATCTCCAGGCCGTGGCCGGCTGCGCCAGGCGACACGACCACGGTCTTGTCGCCTCTGCGCCACCTGCGCCCGCCCCGCGCGCGCGGCGCTCGGCCGCGTCTTAGCGCGCTCCGGCCGTCGCCGCCCCCATCGCCACTGCCGCCGCCGCCGTCGCCGTCGCTGCCGCCATCGCCGTCGCCATCGCTGCAGCCGTCGTCACCAAACTGTCGTCGCCGCCGTCGCAGTCGTGTCCGTCGCCGTCGTGTCCGTCGCCGTCGTCGCCGTCGTCGCCGTCGCAGTCGTTGTCGTTGTTGTTGTCGTCGTCGTCGTCGTCGTCGTCGTCGTCGCCGTCTGGAGTTGGAGCCACGGGGGGTGGAGTGCCGAGTCCGCATGCGGGCGACCCTGTGACGTCTTGTGGTCAGCCTGGGCATTGTCTGGGCGCAGACCCCGGTTGATTCGCGCTGGTGCCGCTCGATGGTGCTGCCTGGCCCGCGGCGTCCGCTGGCCCGCTGGCAGAAGAGCGCGCCACCCCAAGGCCTTGCCCCCCCTCTCCTTCCCCCTTCTCTTCTTCCTCCCTCCTCTTCCTTACCAATCCTCCATCCTTCCTTTTCCCGCTTCTCCGCCTCCTCCTCCCCCCGCTCCTTCTCTCCTCCTCTCCTCCTCCTCTCTTCCTCGTTTTCCTCCTCCTCCTCCTCTTCCTCCTCTTCCTCATCCCCCCTGCTCCTCCCCTTCCTCGTCTTCCGTCTCCTCCCCTCTCCTCCTCCTCCTCCTCCTCCTCCTCCTCCTCCCCCTCCTCCTCCTCGTCGTCATCCTCCTCCTCCTCTTCCTCTTCCTCCTGCTCCCCCTCCTCCTGCTCCATTCCTTTTCCTTATACATAATTTCTCCCTGTCGCACCGCGAGGCCAGACTTTAGGGCTGCCCGGGCGTTTCGCCTGAGACTTCCTCACCACTTATGACCCTGAAGCTAAATTATCCCGGCAAAGCAACCTAACAGCCATGTGTAGGAGCATATCTGGCAGCATTCCCTCAGCCTGCATCAGCCTCAGCCTCAGCACGAAGCGACCTAGCTAGAAGGACAAAACGCTGAATGTACACCGATGTGTTCGACGACTGCGTATGTAATGATGTGACGATATAGAGACTGAGCCCTTCGTGAATGTCTACATGTTTTTCTGACGCCTACAAACGGCGCTGACGTGTGTGAGAAAATTGTCCGCGCAGCAAAAGCCGGCGAAGCGTGCGGGAGCTCGCATGCTGAGACAGACTACGTCTGCAGACCGCCAGCTGCAAAAGCTTGCGAGCGGCTCTTGGAAGATGTTTACGGAACGGAGCTACGGAGCTCACCGCAGGAACTCGCATACTGAAAAGGAATGCATCGAAACCGCACGCTGCGAACCCTGCAGGCTGAGAAGCACCGCAGGATGTCGCATGCTGAAAAGCACTTGTACTGCAGAGCGCTAGCATTCCATCTCGGGCTCGGACCCCCCCGTCCTGATCCAGAACGTGTCCGCGACACGTGCAGGCTCACCGCGCACAGCTGCACACGAGCGCAGGCTGAGAAGCACCACGCGCATGCAGGCTGAGAAGCACCACGCGAATGCAGACGGACAGACTGAACAGGACCGCCACAACGCAACCTGCATCTCATGACTCCTCAAGCTCGCGCAGGCCATCCCAGTTGCTGTCGGGCCTTCGCGCAAGCGATCTTCGTCGCGGCAATCTTGTCCGTGAAGAGCTCGGCAAAGGCCTTGGCGATCTGTTCCGGGGGGCCGGATTCGATGATGTTCCGGTCAGGCAAGCCGTGGCTCAAGAGTTGGTTGAAGCTTCTGGGGCGCGACAGGCTGACGTAGTAGGCAAGCCAAATGGACTCCTTCTTGAGTCCAGGCGGAAACGTCCAGTGCACGATGAAGCCTGGGTCCGTCGTCTTGCCCTGGACGCCATGCAGAGTCCCCTGCTTTTTGGGCAGCGCGGTCAACTGCGTCCTGGACACCGCGATGGCCGGGCCACCTGTCTTCGCTTTGAACTTCCAGGGGCGCGCCTGCGGGGTGATCGCGAGCACTCCGCGCAGGTCGGGGCCGGCAGGCTGAGAAGCACTGTTAGCTGTCACCGGCGCGGCCTTCAAGAAAAATTCATCGCTGTCATCGATCTTGACATAGACGGCCTTTGGCATGTAGTAGAGCACGACCACGCCGTCCGAGACAATGGACGGGCGGCCCTCCACCGGAGGCTCCAGAGCGTGCAGCTCTATGCCTACCACTTTGCCTGGCGCGCCACGGACATACTTCGGCGGCAAGACGGATTCTGTCAGGATGACCTCCATGCCAACGAAGAGCGGCAGCAGCCCCGGCATTTTTGCGGTAGCGCCGATGTTGGGCTCCGCGCGCATCTCGTCGTAATCAGGCTTCGCGAGGCGCGCAGCTGGTCTGTCGATTGCTGGGACGTAAAAGAGCAGCTGGCCAGCATCGTGCGCATCAAGCTTGGCCTGTGCATGCATGGCGTAAGAGACGATGCGCCACTCATAGGCCGACTCGTACCAGCCTCGTGCTGCACGCAACCGAG